GAGATGTTGCAGATGTTGCCCGTCCCGATGATGGAATTAAACGGTGATGTTCCAGAAACGCTGCGGTTTGAGAATGAACTGAGGAGAGCTTGAAGAGAATTGAATAAAAAAAAAAGAAAACAAGAGGAAAAAAAAGGTGGAGGTTCCTGACCATGACTTTAGTTTGTCTCAGTTTGGGCTGCGTCCCCGCGCGACCTAGAGGTACTGTATACTTTTGTGTCTTTGTAGTCCTTACTATGTTACTGTTTACATCCTTTTGATATTTTATTGTCAGTGCTTTGAGTGGTGGATACGACTCAAAAGTAGGTCATGTGGCTGCGTACATCTGCCGGATCAAAGAAGTAGATAATACTGTAACTGTGAAATATATGAAGTTCTCTTTATCTTTAGAGACGAGTATTATTGACAAAACACCATTTTGTTGAACTATTTAAGGCAGGGCTTACCAACCTCTGGTCCGGGAACCGGTGCCGGTCCGTATGTCATTTGATACCGGGCCGCAGTGGTGTACAGTAAAAAAAAAATAAATGTACTTATTAATTTAAAATGCAATCATATTCCTTTACTTTTTTCATTTATAATTTAAAATGCAATCATATTCCTTTATTTATTTTTTCATTTTTTTTTTTCATTTTAAATAATCTGTTTCAAAACAACAGGTCAACCAGACTTTGATACCAACAGAATAAGGTATAAAAGATGTTTTATTTTGAAAATTAAATGACTGGACCTTTGTAAAAAAAAAAAAAAAAAAGGTTGAAGGACCACTGATTTAAGGTGGAGATTTTTTTAAGGTGGCGTCACAAGTGGGTATATGACACTTTGAGTTCGTTTTCACTTGTAAATAATTGTCCTTATCCAAGAAGCATGTGATCAGTTCAAACGAACTGAAACTGACTGCTTGTTAAAATGCAAAAAAAACCAAAAAAAAAACATATATCTTCAAACAGACACGGTGTCGTTGTGATGATGCTGCACTCTCTCAGCTGAGTAAACAGCCCTTCTTTTGCAGAACTGGTCTGCAAAGCTCGTACTTATATAACAGCTGTCTACTTAATCAAGATTCTCTCACTACTGTCACAGGGCTGGTGCTGCCTGACCCAGATACAGCCTAATACAGTACAGTCGCTGCTAATGACTTCCATTCACTCACATCTGGACCAGTGAAACAGACAGACAGACAGAGAGAGAGAGAGAGAGAGAGAGGAGGAGGGGGAGAGAGAACAAAGTATGTCATACATAAAATAAAGAGTACTCTAGTATCTAAACAGTGATGTGTAGTATCACTGGGCATGTTTTTGCCACTGCCACGGTTTTTGGTTTTTAAAAATAGCCAAACGCCACGTGACCAATAGCGGTGGTTTTTAGATGACATGGCCTCCAGACCCACATTCGTCCTGGATCAATAGGTCAGGGTCTGAAATGTTAGAGCACTCAAAAGCATCAATACAGAATGCGTTATGAAATCATCACACAAACAAGGTCAGAAATAATGGGTATTCTTTTTTTTTTTCATCTCCAGAAGGTCATACATACAAAATAAACTGTAGGTTTTCTTAGTCACAGAAATGACCTGGTGGTTAAAAAATGAATTGCACCTATGGTACACATGTTGGAAGTGCAAGTTCTCAAATTTCCGGGTTCTCAATATTCATACCGTGTTAATAAACACTGAGGAAATATTACAATGCATTTTTTTTATATTTATGCACAGATGCGGGGATAAAGAGAGTAAAAGTGCCACCTTCTGGCCAACACTGGAAATTCATAGTGTGCACTTCTAGACCCTGTTTAAACCCCGTGAGCTTCAGTTTCAGTTTTCACCTCATCAGCTGTTCAGGGAGTGTGTGAATGTGATGAAAGATGTTGCATAAAAGTGACTTGTATGTATACAACTGGGTACATGTGTGTAATGTCTGTTTTACACTGATTGTAAACAAAGATTTAGGTAAATATGAGTACGGGGCATTTTTTACAAATTTGAAACAAAAACTGAGCATATGAAGCTCAGTCAAAACTTGCTCAGACAACATGCAAATAATATTATTTAATGACAAAAATAAGTGTTCTGTGTTACTCTACATCTACTGTACATGTGTGTTTATTTGTGTTGTTGGTACTCCATGACTAATGTTCTCACGTATTCAGTACATTTCCATCACAGAGACAACATGCAAATAATATTATTTAATAACAACAATACCTGCCTCTTTGGTCTACACTAGTTATCAAGAGAGTTCACACATCTTCTATCATGTGAAATGTAGCCTGATTTTTTTGTTCTAGCCTTGTCAGAGGCCCTATGACCCACTTTTGGGTCGTGACCTACCAGTTGAGTATCATTAGCCTAAGGCAGAAGTGTCAAACTCATTCTCACCGGGGTCCACGTTAGCTATACACTTCCTCTTGCTGGGCCGTTTGTAACTGGAAGACTGTATAGATCAGGGGTCCCCAACCCCCGGTGCGCGGACCAGTACTAGTCCATAGATCACTTGGTTTGAGGCCGCAAAAAAGTACTTAATTTCTACTAATTTACTTCATTTAAAGAAAATCCAGTCATATCCATTTACTTTCTTTATTTAAAGACAATCTGACAATATATTAAAATAACAGGTCATCCAGACTCTGATACAAACAGAATAGAGTCTAAACGTGGTTTTATTTTGAAAATGTAATGATTCTTAAATGCTCAGCAACTTGGTACAGGTCCGTAGTAATGGGTGGTACTGACTGACCAGTCCTTGGAACAACAAAAAAGGTTAGGGACCGCTGGTATAGATGTAACTACTCCATTGATTATTATTTGATTGATGATAAAAACTTAACTTAACAAACTCTGCTACATGGACTTTACTAAATGCTTTTTAAGATCCTGCGGGCCACACAGAACGGCTTTGACAAAATAGTCAGAGAGAGCTGAGTGAAAAAGTACTGTACGTTATAATAACTGTTTATGCTGTGTTATCCTGTAGCATTCTGTACATTTCATTTAAAACGTATTTTTCCTCTTTTTTTTTCTCATGTTGCATTTTAGCTGTGTCAAACCTGGACATAGAGAGCAAGCTGTCCGTTCACTATCAGGCCTCCTGGCACCAACAACACAATTTAATTCATCCTTTCAGTCGACCGCCATCCTCCCCCTCCCCACCCACTGTACGTCGGCAACAGAGGAGCCGACTGGCACGAGCGGTGAGTTTGACTGATTGGTTGATGCTTCGAGTAAAAATAAAAAATTATTGGCTGGTTATTTAAAGCTATATTTCAATGTAAGGTAAAGGCTAATTGGCTTTAGTGCAAAGCTAACCCTGTTTTTGTTGTTAAATGTGCAACACCTTTCTTAGGAAAAAGCCTACACGAAATACAAATTTTTTTTTTTCCTAAGTACGATTCATATTATAAACTGCAATTTGATCGTCTTTTAGTCTCAGTAACGTCTCACAAGTCGCGCTCTGCTCAGTTTTTTGTTTATTAAAATATTATGTAAAACAAAACTGAAGTTGGGGAAGAATGAATATGATTGGTCACCGTGTGTAGCCGACAGCTGGATTGTCCAGTCAGAGCCTATAGCAACAGTAAACACATCACTACAGTCAAGTGTAGTTTGATGGTTCAGAGGATTTGACTTCTTCTGGATCATTCTGCTGTCAGTCACACCCCGGTCTAGTTACGTTCACCCTTTCAATTTCAAAAATCCATCTGAAAAACATTTAACTATCCATGGCACAAAATTGTTGACATGACAGCTGAGAGAGAAAGCACGGTATTAGGTGTCAAAAGGTACAGTTAAAACTGCAGAACTATTAAATATTTTTTTAAATGTTCAACTGACAAATGTTCAACTGACATTTTTCTTCTTCTTCTTTTTTTTTTTTTGCTTTGCAGCAAGAGAGAGCAGAGAGGGAGCGAGAGTTGGAATATCAGCCCCGAAAGGTAAAACCAAACATTCAGATGGATTCAATTTGAGTCACATAAGTTATACAGTCTTTTTTATTTTAATTTATTTTAAATTTCCCTTAAATAATTATATCCTAATTTTAGATCTCGTTTATATTTACTTCTGTTTTTGTAATCTCCCCAAGGAGAATGTTGTGAGGGAAACCGAGATACAGACCTTACAGAGAAAAGTAAGAAAATATAAGAATTCATTTCAGATGTACTCCAAATGCCGTGCGCAGTATTCATGCATGTTTGTGTGTTTTTATCTGCTGTCACAGGAGAAGCCAGCCAGAGAAGCAGATATGCAGACGATCCAAAGAAAGGTAACGAAAGAAAAGAAAGTGTGGAGATGAAGAATTCTCCTGACGATGTTTCATACCTCCCTACTACAATATTTGAATCATTTTCTTGACATTTTGTGTTACTTTTGTTGTATTTATTTTCATAGTTTGAGTGCTTTTACTCACTACCCACAATTGAAAGTTGTATCTTCATCCCATGGAACATAAAGGTAGCAAGCTTTTTTTTTTTTTTTTTGTCTCTATTAATTTGCTCTGTTTGTGATATTATTTTGTCTTTGCTTCCTGATACTTTTCTTCTCGGCATTTGTTGTTTCTCATATCACTGCTCCATCGTTCTCCACACTTCTCCACTTCATGAGATAGAGGAAAATAGCAGCATAGCATGTTGTCTCACTGCTCTTGGTTTTATCCAGGCTACCTCAGCAGAAGATGAAGTGGGTGAGGCCTCGGACGGCCACAGAGCCAAGGCTTCAGCCCCGACTGCTTCGTCAACCAAGGAAAAACAGGCAAACTGGTCCAAAGAAAACCTTTCGCCATCAGATCAGAAGCAAACTGCCGATGCTCATAGCATTTCCTCCTGCATCATCCCAATCAATGTAACAGGTATGGAAAAAAAATGGAGAAAAAAACCAGAGGAATGTGTTTTTTTATAAACTCCTTATACAGTATCTCTAACACAATTGTGTGAAGACGTCCACACTCTTTTGGCTTGAAAGCTGCTATTCAAATGAATAGGTCAAAGTGGTCTACCCCATTGAAAAAAATAAAATAAATATATATATAGGTATATATACATATACCTATATATATATAAACCAATCATATTATTATTATTATGTTGGGCTAGTGATTAAATGCATGTAGCATGTTCAAAATGGTTGACTCTCACAGTATATGGTCACTGCATGTAGCATGTTCAAAATGGTTGACCCTCACAGTATATGGTCGCCACTACACACTATAGAATTATGTTTATATTTTAAGTTATTTATTTATTGTGATTCCTCATGATCTACCAGCGCTCTCTTTGCTTCTAGTAGTACTAGTAGTAAATTTGCTGATGGCTACAGAAGCATTTAAATCCTCTTGAAAATACAGTTTTACATGTAAAATAAAATAAAAAAGTAAATTTCTACTATATTGATCCCATATTTGGGAAGCTGTTGAGTTAGCAGCAGATAGGCTGTTTACAGGCTGCCCCTAGCAAGGGCCAAGCATGCGGTTCCTCTGGGAATTGAACCCTGGACCCTGCTTCCGAGGCAGTCATGCTAACCACTATAGTATGGAACCTACCAGTACTGCTCCAGGAGGCTCTAAAAATATTTTGATATTTTTGCTCCGTTCAGGATCCATTCATTACGTACTGTATCTAGGGTTAGGTTAGCAGATAGAGTGAGTTTTTCTTTAGTTGTCTAGCTAGCTTCTCTTGTGTCAAGACTGAGACTGGGCTAGTCGTGACTCGCAGTAGCGTTTATTCACTCAATGAGACATAATCCTTTACTTTACACCAGCTTTTCAACACACAACTCTCGTCCGTTTTTCCCTGCCGTAGTTAACAGTGGTATCAAGATAATTCAGTTCTAACTTTCTAACGTTTGTTTCCCCGTCCTCACTGTGGCGTAGCGATCGATCAACCATGACGTTCCCATGTTTGGCCCAATTAGTTCTGTGAGCTCAGCCATGGTGAAGAGATGAACTGTGTATCTGACATGATGGACGGTTACCTCCGTCTGAACTCTGTTCTTGGCTGTTATTCAACTGCTACTATGCCACGGGCTGAACTTTGGCTGAACCGTGTTACAGCAGAGCACGCAACATCTATGATAACGTGAGATGTGATACAAAATGAAAACACACGGCAATATGACATCCCTGAACACTACAAGTCCAAAAAAACATCAGCTACCTGGGGATGAAGAGGGTGTAGATTGACAACACCATGGTAGAACTTCTAAGTTTCTAGAAATATTTAGGGATGTTTTTTCCAGGGTCAGATCATTTTCAATGGCCCATGCATTCAATCGGTGTCTTTTTCTATTTATTGGTCTTATGCAGTTAATGCAAGTTCATTAACCAATAAAGTTCATGCTGCTAACTAACCGTGGGTGTTGCCTTTCCAGGGGTTGGTTTTGACAGGGAAGCAAGTGCCCGTTGTTCTCTAGTCCATTCCCAGTCGGTTCTTCAGAGGAGAAGGAAGCTTCGGCGGAGGAAGACTATCACAGGAATTCCAAAAAGGGTCCATCAGGACTTGGGTACGTTTGATCAAACGAGCTGAGCCGGAGGATTGTGCCGTGGTCGTGGCGTGAGATAATTCTGTACCATTTCGTCATATTTACCTTCATCCTCGAAAAGCAAAGGTTTCCACATGATATTTCACACACACAACATGCTTTGTCTCTTTGCATTTAGACTCAGATGAATCACCTGTAGCAAGAGAGCGCACAGTGATCGTCCATGCCAACCCGCACCAACTCTCTCTCTGTCAGGAAGATCTTTCAATCAGTGGTCGCCTCCATCACACTCGTGACTCTGGCTGCCAGACAGATGATTTCCTTATAGCATGTATGTTCTAAACATTCCCAGTTCTGTTCTTTATTGCAGTCTACTTTGACAGGGCCAGTTAGATAGCAGCCATTGGAAAGTTAGAATAGAACAGCTACATAACAAGCTACAAGCTACAAGTCAGTGTGCTCTCATCCTCAAATGAGAACCCCCCCCGTCATTACCCCATTGTCAGAATGATCAAGGTGCGCCCGGATTAAAGAATATCTCTGCCTGTTTTTTTCCTCTCTCTGTTTCTTCCACGTCTCAGGCACCGCTGCACCTTCCAGACGGCGCATTAGGGCACAACGTGCACATCAGGGGATTCCCGCGTCTCTGTCCCATTCAACGGGAAACATTTCCTCTCTCGGAGACCAGTCAGACTCGGCGTACACCAGTGGTTCAGCCCATGGCGGACGCCTGCGCTCCCGCAGCCTTCCGAGAGAGGGCGGGCGTTTGATGGACAGCGACGACGACGACGACGATGACGACAACTACGACGACGACGACGATGACGAGGAGTTGTCGCCTTACGAAACGGAGGACTTCATCCCATCTGGTCCTAGTCCGCGAATGAAGATGATGATGATGAAGGATGAGGAAGAGAGCACAGACGACCAGGCCGCTCCAGAACCTCTGCAACTTGGAACTCTCAAACGGTTGCAGAGGTCTGGGGAGAGAGACAGGGGGAGCGGCGGAGGAGGGAGTCCAGAACACAGCTGGAAAGAGAGGGGGCGGTCCCGCCTGCCCCGCAAAACTGACATGGGCAGTTGTGAGATTTCGTCAAGTTCCGATACTTTCAGTAGCCCAATCCACTCTGTGTCAACAGCAGGAGTCCACACCCATGTGGATCACAAGGAGGACCACCAGTCATCCAGTGGGAACTGGAGCGGTTCCAGTTCCACGTGCCCCTCGCAGACGTCCGAAACGATCCCTCCGCCCTCCTCCCCACCTCTGACGGGATCGTCCCACTGCGACTCAGAACTGTCGCTCAACACTGTGCCAAATGCCATCGACGAGGGATTTTCCTTGGATCCCTCGTACCCCTCTGACCTCCGACCCCAGAGTCAAGGCCACAGATCGAACTCATTCACATCTTCAGCCACAGACCAGCTGGACGATGCAGGGGTCAGTACAGCAAGCGAGGGGGAATGGACTTACCCTGCAGACCAGGATCACAACGATCCAGACCAAGATCCCGATCCTACCCAAAACCAGAGTCAGAGTCACGCGTTGACGACGGAGTACTCCTCCAAAAAAGACCGCACCTGTAACAACGAGAAACACCTCGGTTCTCAGTACACGTCCGACACGGAGAACTTGTACTCGTCTTTCGAGCACTTGGGGGAATGTAATCAGACTTACAAAACGTACATGTGCAACTATGCAGATCAGGAATCTCCCGTGACAGAGTCCAAAAGTGTGGCAGCAGCTCTGTTACACAAAGGCTGCCTCCAGCCTGCAGCCGACTTCAAAGAAAACAGTATGACCTTGGGGAGGATGTGTCATCCGGTCAGAAAACCCAAAGTCAAACCGCCGCCACCCAAACGGACGTCGTCAATAAAGAAGCCCAGCAGTTGCGTAGATGTCGGAACGGACACGCATCACGATGAACCAAAAAAAGTCGGTGAACCGGAGATCAACTTGTCTTCCACGGATATGAAGCTGGACCTGGAGCTGGAAGCATGCGGCGCTCCTGAACCACTACAGACATCCTGTCTGGTGGCGGAGCCGCTAGCGTCGTGGGGCATGGGAATCGGTGAGACGATGGATATGGTGGAGCCCATGTCCTTCAGCTCCGCGGATACACACTCATTCAAAGACGAAGGTGCTGTGCAGTCTGACTACGCAGACCTATGGCTTCACAACGCCGAGGTGAAGTCCAGCAACGGCGTGTACATATCTATGTCCAACTCAAGCACAGCCGCCGGCGCCACCGTCACAGAGTGCACCAAGTCCCCGGACAGCTCCTCTTCGCCCACCGAAACCCAAACGCAGACCTTTGCCCGGCCTTCAGAGACTAGGGCAGCCAGTCCGCCTCTTCCACCCGGAGACTTTAAACTGGGGTCACCTGAAAAGCTGGCCGGTCTGGCATCACCGTCCAGTGGCTATTCCAGCCAATCCGAGACTCCAACATCAACCTTGCCCTCTTCATCAGCTGCATTCTTTCCCGGACCTCTGTCACCCTCAGTCGCCAAAAGAAAGCCCAAAGTGCCCGAAAGGAAGTCTTCTCTCTCCTCTCTGCAACACTTCCCAAGGGATGGGATTTCTATTTCTTCTTGCTATAAAAAAGATCCCGATTTCCCACCTCCGCCTTCTCAACTCGACCTCCACGTTCTTCACGGTAGCTACGTCAGACACACACTATGCCATAGACCCCACCACATGCACACGCTCGCCCACGGCAAACACAGAGTCACGAACACCGTGGCACCCGCTGGAATAAAGGTGTCGGCCCCCGAGACTTCAAACGCAATCCTGTCACCAAGCTCAAATTTGGCGCCAACAATTACTAATTCCAATCCGTCGGCAATGACAACAGCTGCTCCACGTTCAGCACCGCTTCATTCGGCCCTCAGGTCTACGGATTCTTCTACAACTACAGAGCAGCCGACGGCGCGGGGTTTAGAGACCGCTACCAGACCTAAATGTCCTCCTAGTACTTCGACGTTGGCGCCACCTCCTATCCACACCAGGCCTCTTCCTCCCCGGAGGCCGCCTCCCAGGCCGCCATGCCATGACCACGCCTCCTCCCCGGAACATTCACATCCACCGCCCCCAATCCGCCACCCTGACGGGCCTCCATCCTACGAAAGCCTTCTGCTAAGACATGACCGCTACGGACCTGGAACCTTCTGGGCCATGACGGCCTTCAGAACGCGAATGGACTCATCGTCGGACCTGTCCGAGGACAGCTCACCCGTGCACCGCCCCGTACCGCGAGCCCCCCACCCGTCGCCTGTGGACTTACACACGCACATAAAATCGCACACCGAGTTTCGAGGACTGACACACTCATCTCATTCGCACTCTGAATTTAGGGTTTTGGGAGAGCAATCATTCTCCCAGGATGATGACGACGACGAGGACGAGGACGAGGAGGAAGAAGAGGAAGACCAGGTGAAAGAGCTGCCGAGGGCTGCGTGTTCCAGAGGAGGATTGCGATCGGACCACCCTCCACCTCCGGCGTATGAGTTCGCTGGAGGATCCCACTCAGACTCAGGGCCCTGGGCTAGTCCACTCAAAGTGCCTGGCATCATTAAACAGACATCGCATCCTTACCCAATCAGCGATGCAAGGAGAGGACGGCAGACGGAGAAGGAAGAAGAGAGTGAAGAGACATCAGGTGCTACCAGAAGTGCCAATCAGCAGCATCTCCAGGAGGGCAAAGACGACTCCACCACCCCTGACACTGAAGATTACTTCAGTAAAGGTAAGACTGGGTGTCATGTGACTTTTACATCTGGTCTGAATGAAGGAAATGCAGCATGAACACGTGACCTGTAACAGGGATAATGTGCTCCACAGATTCAACGCCCAGTGATAACTCACTGTCCCCTGTGACGGACGACTCCAGAATGGACGATGACATCATCACATCACCCAACAAGACCCGTACTACTGAGGACCTGTTTGCTATGATACACAGGTGTTGTAATTCCTGAGGCCTTTCATTCATTTTTGTATGACACTTTTATTTACCAAATTAAATTTTCAGTTTCTATTTCTCTGTAGCCACTACACTACACTTATAGATTTTTTTGTCGTCAAACTCACACTGCGTGTTTTTTTCTTTTTGTTTTTTTTTTTTTCATTCAGATCCAAGAGAAAGGTTCTGGGCCGTAAAGACTCCGGAGACCTAAACATGAAGTCCCGTCTTTGCCCGGCAGCAACAGTTACCCCCGGAAATGTCTCCAGCATCATCATCTCACCAGCCGCTCCACTCAGCGTCACGGCCAACTCGGCCACGACCGCTGGATCACAACGAGCCCCCGTCCCAATCTACCGCAGCGCCAAGAAGTCCACGACATCCAACGAGGAATTTAAACTTCTGTTGCTCAAAAAAGGGAGCAGGTCGGACACCAGCTACCGCATGTCAGCGACGGAGATTCTTAAGAGCCCCATTACCCCCAAACTCCCAGGGGAGCCTCTACAAGAGGGGCTTGTGAGGCAACTGGAGGAGACGTCTTCGACACTACAGGAACCCCATCTCTCTAGCATGGATCCAATCCAGATACCAATTCTTTTCCCCAGAGCCAACTCTGAGAGTTTTACCCCCAAGACTCTACCCCTGTCATCTGCATCCCGACAGGGCCGTTCTCGGATCCCACCTGTAGCCACCAGCAGCCGCTACAGCACACGCAGCCGCCTCTACACAGCCCCCATGCAAGCCATTTCGGAAGGGGACACGGAAAACTCAGACGGGAGCCCCCACGATGACAGGTCGTCCTGAAATAATCCAACGAGACACGTCTTCCGATTGGAAAACGTGTCTCCCGTGTAAAGCGATACTTTTTCTAAAAATCGAAAGCGTGTTTCACGAAGACCATCATCGTAATTCTATTTGAAAAAAAATTATATATATATATATTTTATGTACTATTGTATCAAAGAGAATCGGACAGCGAGTTATGAGAAACAAAATTAAAAAACATTTGGTAAAATAAACTGTACCATCAAAACAAAAACCTTACCTTTAAAATATGACAGAGTTAAATTGATATATTTAAATGAATTATCTTTATTAAAAAAAAGTGGTACAAATGTTTGGTAAAATAATAGTACAAAACTCCTACAGTATCAAGTGTGTGTGGAGGGGTGTGTGTGTGAGAGAGTGTGTGTGGGGGGGGAATTAGGACAAAAAGGGAATTGCTTTCTAACGATAACGTTTCAATTAAAATCCTACAAAATATTGTATTATCCCTTAAACCCCAAAGTTCAAACTGAATATTCCTGCCAGTAAAGGTAGTTTAGATTCACTAACAATCTCTCAACACAGGACTAACTTCTCTATCTATTCCCATCTGCAGACGTGGTATAGAAAAAAATAAAATAAAGTATCACACAGAACTAATCTTTTATTTCTTTACATAAATTATATCCGGAAAGAAAACATGTTGCATGTATTTTTATAGAAACAGTAAAAAAAAAAAGAGCCTCAGAACACGTTGCATGACCCTATAGGAAAACATCTTCATGGTACTACTTTTGACATTTTGTCTTTTAATTTCTGAGTTTAGTTTGTGTGTGGTGTCAAGTCATCTGAAACAATTTTTTTTTTTTTTTTTTTTTTTTTTGTGAATTTTAAACCTGAAGGACGGGGTCTCGCCCCTACAGTAGAGTAGACGGAGCTCATTTGGCTAAGATACTGGCTAATTCAAGACAATCGCACAGTGGCCTTTCTCCATAAGATGTTGTAAGCGGAGCATTTATTTGACTCGGCAGAAAAACAAAGGATACTCGCCATGTTCCACCAGAATTGACTGACTTTTCTTTTTTTTTTTTTTCTTAAACCTTCAGCATGTCCATGTGGTAACCGTAAGGGGAAAAGTGAGACCCATATGGCTATTTCCACAGTTTCAGTGTGGGCCCCATGCAGATTTACCAAATGTTTGTAAAGGCCAACATATGTGGCCCACACGATCTGTTTGAACTTCACGTGGGGCCCAACCAGAAACAGGGTGAGAGCTGATTACACTGATTAACCAATTATGTCTGATTAGAGCTTTTCTCAGCTGCTGGCCGTTCTAGCTGTGCTCAGTTGAAATTCTCAAAGCCCATTTGAAGACGCTTTTAACAATGCCACGTGGAGTGGAAGTGGTGAAAATGCTTTAGGAGGTCTACAATCGGATTTAAACGTGAGGTTCAATTGGGACGATTTCCAAAGAATCAACCTCGCTTTTGCACTTGCTCTTCTCCAAGAATATTCCTTGAAAACTATAAATATATATCTTATAATGAAATGAAATATGTATATTTGTACTGACTATTAAAGGTAGTATCTTTATGGAACAACAAACCGAAGTTTATAGGAGACGAACCTGAGTGTAGCAAAGAAGAACAGGTTTCCCTAACATTTCACATCAGTCCTAACCTCTCCTCGTTGCCTCTCTTCTTTTGCACTGACCCAGTAGCAACGGACAGGTGAAAGCTCAACTCTGTGGAACCATGAAAGGAGGAGTAAAGTGCTGTAAACCACTAAAAGAACACCGCTGCCTCCTCTTCTCTAGATCACAGGGCTAACGGCACCTTTTAGAAATATTTTAAACCCCCAAAAAAGATTTCAACGATGTGTTCTTTTGTTTTACAGACCGAAATAAAGATCGGCGAGTAGGTTTGAGCTCTCACCTGCCTCCAGCAGCAAACATGTATACATTTATTCTGAGATCTTATTTCAGTTAATACCATAGACTGTAGAAATGAAGGTAGTAATCAGTAGCTGCCAGTGAAGCCTCAGAAAATTCAAAGTAACTCGGTGTGAACAGAATGCAGTGGGAATATTAGGCTATATGAGTTTTATGTTGTCAATTTTCGAGGGGAAAAAAAGGATTAAATACCTATTTTTAAACAATGACAAATTGCTTAATTAAAAATTAAATAAAATATTAATATTTATGTAATTTACTTTTTTAGAAAAGGAAATTTAAAATAAACTGGTGCGGTTAACTCCCCCTGGTGGTAGCATCTAGTAAGTGCATGAGGGGTTTTTTTTCTCCAACAATCAGGTCCCTATTAGACAGTTGCGATACTGTATATCTAATTGTTATTATCGTGAAAGGACCTGAGCCATACCGTCATGAAAGTAGCCTAATGTTGCCACAGAGTATCATTCACACAATATTACACCTGAAACCAGCGGAATTTTGGTCTTTTTTTCAGACCTGTATTTGCAACCACTGCTACACACATTTCTTGTACATTGGTCTATGAAAGAAACTATTCACTGTATTCTGTGAATACCTCAGCGAGCATATTCTAATTTACTGTAAATGCTACAGATAGATAGATAGATAGATAGATAGATAGATAGATAGATAGATAGATCGATCGATAGACAACTGTTTGACACTCAGCGAATCTGAACTGCAGAACTGACACTGTGTAAGATTGAAGGAGTACAAAGCTGTGAACTGACCAGTTTTACATACATCTCTCATGTCGCCGAAGAGCATTTGATCCTCATGATCGTCCCATTCGTTGTGTTCTTTCTATCGCATGCAATAAGAAAAAAAGAGAAAACAAAGAAGAAGAAAAAGGACGCCACTAGAGCATTATTTTTCTCTGCCTTCATGCCACTGACAAAGGAGTTTGTCATTTCCATTCAAATGTCAAGTTCAGTCGTGAGTTCTGTAGATGTACAAACTGGCTAATTCTGTTCTGTATAGTCGTGATCACACACAGGGGTTTATCTTGTACTGTAAATCTACTCACGGGACAATCATACCTAAAAGAGACTGTAAAGAAAATGATGTGTGTGTGTGTGTAATTTCCACGAAGAGGAAGCTGCAAACCTTTGGTGCTGGTCCTACTATTGTTGGAGCTGTTAAAAAGAAATATTTTCAAAATGAAACTACTGGTTCGATTTGAACTATCTGGACATGACGCTTGGAGTTCAAAAAGAAAATGATAAAAAAAAAAAAAGAAGAATTTTAACTTGAAGATAATGTCATTGTATTCAATTTTGACTCATTACTAACTTGTTTTATTCACACAAACCCTTTTACTAAACAATTTCAATACAGTATTTATATAGTTGGTACAGTATTATATGACAAAACGTGACTCTAAAACATATTTTAAATGTTAAACATATCCCCAGAGGAATACTTGGGACATTGTTTGTTTTGGAGATTTTCTGTGCCTGAGCTGAGGTACGTAAGACAAGACTGTTGATGCAAAAAGCAGTTAAATACACACTGACACAGTTTTCATGAGAAAAACAAACTGCAGGCCAGACAAGTCCTGTTCAAGCTCACAGCAGTTTGGGAATATTGGAAAGAATGAGAATCTATATTCGTAGATGGGTATAGATATCTTTTCCCTTAACTGTTCCTCACGTCTGCACACATTACTGCCTAAAAAAGGAAGTGTGACAACAAACAAGTTTTTTTTTTTCCAACACTGCACGGTAAGGAATACTATCAAACAGTCCTGTGAAAATATGAAAGAAAGAAAAAATATGCAGACAAAATGTAACTATTTAAAAAATGGCTCCAGTTTAAAACTAGGTAGTACATAAAGAGATTTGAATCACTTTTGTATTTTTGTATAAACCTGTAAATATGTTTTTAAATTAAAAAAACAAAACTTGCAAAATCTTTCTTTTTTTAAATAAATCAATGAAAATTAAAAAAAAACAAAAACTTTTTTTTTCCCAAAGTTTACATGATTATTTCCAAACCTTTGTATATTTTGAAGATGTAAAACACCTTCAGTCTTGTAATTATTTTGGGAGTGGGGTTACAACATTGTGAAAATGCCATTATTATATATCGAATTCATTTTAACAGCTCATGAGGCTGCTTAGTAACTGTGCATAGAAAAATGCCAATAAATGTGATTGCATTAAAAAAAAAAGCTGTGTGACATTTTTTCCTCCCAAAGACATTGTGTACTTACACTTATTTCCTTGGAATTGCATACATTATAGTCTTTTTTATTTATTTATTTTGATCTTTTCAGAATAAAAGTACTTTACTTCTTAACAAGTAATCCTAAAAGTACACTATTTTCAGTAGAAATGCAATGTTATTAACCATGGCGTTTCAAACGTTCTTCCTTCCATATTTTTAGTGAAAATTAATCTAATAATGGCTTGTATTCGATAGGTCACATGATTAAAATGCTCCTGTAGTTAATTGAAATGACATCTTTTGAAGTTAGAAAAACATAAATGAATTCTCTTCGTGTATATGCTGTTAACAGCATAGTTGTAATTATCTAAAATAAGTTAGTGGCGGCGCGAAAGAGCATATAATTGTACTATTTTTCTCTATGACGTAGTATTAGGACCACATTGACACGTCACATATTTAATTTTCAACGGTAGTGCCCTCCTGCGTTACTATGACAGCCACACAGTTCAACAGTAACCGTCAGTGATCCTACAGGGGGCAGTAATGCTACAAGACGTCGTATTGGCTCTAAGCCCCGGCGAAAAAGAGTAGAAAAGATGGCGGCGACCAAAGCGTCAAAAGAGCAGAAATATGACAGGCAACTCAGGTAATATTTTATATAATATAACTTCGATTCTAATGTTTCAATTACAGTGTTGATTTCGTGAGTTTTCTGAGTATTTAATGTGTCTAATAAGGTTAGTGACGCCGTTAGGAAAATGACGCAGCAGTTAACAATAGTCGCGTTAGCCTGCTAACAAACGTTAATGATATGAACATTGGATTTGTGTTTATTAGCTTTATGTGTTTTTGTATGTATATAAAAGTCTGGCCTTATTTTGTATTATTTACTGGGGATACCGAGTGGAGTGTTCAATGGTTCTCGCAGAAAAAGTCGTTAATACTTAAATTATATTATTGTGTTTTTATATTTATATCTATTTTAAGTAGAGAATCTTTGTTGCCAGAAGAACATCATTAAATTTTATTGTTTGATATTACGATTTATAGCATTGTGTCATAAGAAACCAATGCCTATTTTTTGTTAAAATCTTAATTTAATTACACTTTTCTATTTTTTTTTAAATAATCACTGACTATGATAGAAAAACATCTTTATAATATGCTTTCAGACTGTGGGGGGACCATGGTCAGGAAACACTGGAGAATGCCCATGTTTGCCTCATCAATGCTACAGCAACAGGAACAGAGATTCTGAAAAACCTGGTACTTCCAGGTAGGCATCTTGGAGCAGTTTTTCAGAATATGTGATCATTTTGAAAGTACTTTGTAAATATGTTTTCTGCTATCTAATTTTTAATCTAATATTTAGGGATCGGAGCATTCACAATAGTTGATGGACACACCGTTTCTGGGGAAGATGTAGGAAACAAGTAAGGCTGTATTTTTGACAACAGATATCACAACTGGCACATAGCTGTCAAAACTATAATGGAAATGGAGGCTTATAAATATAAATACCATGGCTTGGAAAACAAATAATGCTACAAACCCTAAGGTTTTGTTTTTTATTATTATTGCTTCTATTTTAACTTTTTTTTTCCTTGGCAGCTTTTTCCTAAGCAGTGACAGTATTGGAAAGGTATGTGTGATTTTGTCTTTTGTGTTTTGGCCAGTATTGTTTTAAAGGTTTTAAGATTATGAGTGTTTACAATCAATCGATTGATCACCAATCTATCCCCAGTACTGCATATTACTGACGTTAATATAAACGCTTTGTAAACACACAATCAAAGTAAGGTTTTAAAAATGCAACGTTGTCCTGTAGCAGCCAAAATAGTTACTACTGATCTTTTTTGTTGTGGCTCAGATTTTTTGTTTGTGTGTGTGTGTTGTAGAACAGAGCACAGGCTGTGACTGAGCTTCTACAAGAACTTAATAGTGACGTATCTGGACACTTTGCAGAAGAGGTTCGTGTTGTTGAGGCTTTGGTCTAATGATACAAATGATTTTGTGAGCAAAGAGAACCAAAATTCGTTGTTTCTTTTAACTCCTACAGTGTCCAGACAAACTTCTTGACAGTGACCCAGAGTTTTTCCACAGATTTACCATAGTGATTGGTGTCCATTTACCAGAAAGGTATAACATATTTGTTTTTCTGTTAACTTTTTTTTGTAACAATTGTAATTCATTTGTATGACATTACAATTGGTGGATTGTACTTTTTCCAAATTTATTTTCAAATATGTTTCTCTGATGCTCACATTGTATCAAGAAATATTCATATTGGTTTAATTTAACTACAGATGTCCGTGCTTTTATAAACTTACTTTTTTACTTTTAAGATTTGAAACTGACAGCTGACAGTTTTCTGTTTATCTTTTGCAGATTTAGTGTTGGTTTGCTTAGATATGTAATTCTTTTTCCTCTGCCTAGTTTAACTATGACAGTGTGTTTGAAACTCCACAGCACGTGTTTAAGGCTGGGCTCAGTCCTCTGGAGCGCCTCTGTTCCTTTCCTAGTTTGTAAAACCTACGGCTTCATTGGCTACATGAGACTCGTGGTACAAGAACATACAGGTTTGTTTATTTTTTTTTTTAGTCCACTTTATTCTTTTAATTTAATTTATCTTTTTGTTGATTTTGCTGTTTAATATTTTGGTGGTGACAGGCTTCAAGTTATTTTTGTCGATGTGGCTTTGTATGTGATTGAGTGGCTATTAAAAGCTATCATATCAAGGTTGTAATAATGCAATGACAAACATGCAACCACTCTATATAGTGGGAATGTCTATATACTGTAATCAGTAGAAGATAAAAAATGAATTAAATGCATTTTGTTCAGTAAATACTGTATTTTATTGCACATATATTCTGTAGCCATAAAATAGCTGAAAAAAAAAAATCTTGTCATTTTCCCTTTAGTAATTGAATCTCATCCTGACAATGCTCTGGAGGACCTGAGGTTAGATCAGCCGTTCACTGATTTCCAGAACCACATTGAGTCTTATGACCTGGACAACATGGAGAAGAAGGTGTGAAGCTGCTCCCCACAGTTTCTATTCCCATGATCCCATGTAGTGTTTCTTTGTCTGATGTTGTTTGTTTAACGTGTAGGATCACAGTCACACACCGTGGGTTATCATTGTTGCTAAATACCTGGAGAAGTGGCTCACTGAGGTACAGCACATTTATGATGACACCATAATTCTTTCTTATCTCCCTCTGGTGCTGTTTAATTCATTGTCTTCTTTTCTTTTTCTTTAAAGCACAACAATCAACCACCCAAAAATTATAAAGAAAAAGAGGCATTTAGACAGTTAATCCGAGAAGGTAACTTCAAAATTTTGATCTGTTTATTTCTGTAATCTGGCTCTTTTTGTTTTTGTTTCTTGTCTGTATCACATCTCGTTGTTTTTTTGCTTTAGGGATTTTGAAAAATGACAGCGGCGTCCCACAAGATGAAGAAAACTTTGAGGAGGCGATCAAGAACGTTAACACAGCTTTAAATCCAACGAAGGTGCCGAACGTCAAGTTAATTTGTGTATAATGATTTATAACGTGTAATGTTGGGTTTTAGACAGTTCATTTTTTTAAAACGTAACCTGCTTACGTGTAATATCCCTTTTCCTGTAGATTCCTAGTGGTCTTCATGATCTTTTCAACAGTGACCAATGTAACAACATCACGTCCCAGGTTAGTTCTGAAGTGGCTGTGTTTTCTGACGAAGATAGAAAGGAAGTTGTAACTAACCAACACCGTTGAACTTCTGGTGTGTGTTTGTTCCCTTTTCCGTCAGACTCCATCCTTTTGGGTGATGCTGCGAGCCGTCAAACAGTTTGTTCACAATGAAGGCAACGGAAACTTACCAGTGAGAGGAACCATCCCTGATATGTTTGCTGATTCACAGAAGTTCATCAACCTTCAGAATATGTGAGTGTGAAAGAGGAGAAAAGGAGTTCTGATCCAAAAGTCAATCCTAGTCACGTAAATGTTGATTCGGAAATGAACTTGTTCTGTTATTAGAACATGTATGTTTACATATGACCAAAAAAATGTATGTTGTTGTGTTTGATTACAGTTACAGGGAAAAGGCCATGGAAGACGTAGCTGCTGTTACCAAACACGTAGAACAACTGCTGCAGTCTGTAGGAAAGGTATGTTTTACTCCCACATCCATCCATCCATCCATCCATCCATCCATCCATCCATCCACATACATTGATTCAGAGAATGACTGAAAACCCTTCGCCTGTTTCTAACAGCCTCCTGACACTATTCCCGATAAGGACATCAAACTGTTTTGTGAGTAAACAAATCACTCTCACTCTCACACCGTAGCTGTGTTGAACAGGTTTATAGTAAACAAATCACTCTCACTCTCACACTGTAGCTGTGTTGTACACAGTACAGGGCAATAGTTTTAGGCAGCTGTGAATATATTTACTGTACTGCCCCTACATTTGCATCATTTCCTTTCATAGATAATTAAAGCAAATGTAGCATTACAGTATATAATTCCCTTTATAACAGTCACTCACCTTAGCTGTAGTTTTGTTTCTCTCTTATTGATGTTTTTAATGTTACTGCAGTGTTTTCATTCTAGCTACAGAAAAGAAACCTCCTCTGATTTTGTGACATATTCTCCTGAACACGTGTCTAATCCAACATGTATGTTGTTTGTGTTGACACACAGGTAAAAATGCTTCTTTTCTGAGGGTGGTACGCTGCAGATCCCTGGCTGAGGAATATAGTGTGGATTCAGTGAACAGAGACGAAATCAGTAAATGAAGAAATGAGTTGGATTCCTCTGTGTTCATGTGTCTTACTGTCTTGTAATAACGATAACTCGTCCTTGTCCCCTCAGCTTCATGCATGGACAGTCCCGACAGTCACATGGTTTTCTACCTCATGCTTCGTGCAGTCGATCGCTTCTTTCAGCAGCACTCGCGCTACCCAGGTATGGCTTAGATTGAAGCATTGATTTTTTTTTTTGTGAATTGTGAAAACCTAAGGGTCAGCTGCCCCGTCTCCAGCTATTTAAAGAGACAATATACAAATTAAACTTCAAATACGTAAACATGTTGAAAAAGAAGGAACCGAAATAGCCAGTTCAACAAAATATGACTCAGAAATCTATATGTTTGTATATTTATGTGTGTATATGTATACGTGTGTTTATATATGTGTATATATATATGTTAATGTACATATATATATTTATGTATATTTATGTGTATATATGTATGTGTATATATATTTATGTAAGTAGCTATATATATGTATATATATATATACATAAATATAATATGCACATATATATCTATATATGTGCATAGATAAGCAGCTCAGGGTAGATCTTTCCTGTCTTTGGTGGCCCTGTGTTTTTTTTTGTTTTTTTTAACAACTTCTTCCAAAATTCAGACTTCTTGCTTCTGTGTCCAATTCCGTGTTTCTCCCTTAAACGCTGTGTCTCGTTCACAGGGCTTTACAACTACCAGGTGGAGGAGGACATCAGCAGACTGAAGCTCTGTGTGAACAGTCTGCTGCAGGAGTACAGCCTCAATGTCAACATCAAAGACGATTACATTCACGAGTTGTAAGTCCAGATCACCGCTCACTTCGACGTCAGGAACCAAGAAGAACGACACACGTTCTCGTGGTTAATGTATTTCGTCTCCTCCTCAGTTGTCGATACGGTGCGGCGGAGCCTCACACAGTAGCAGCGTTTTTGGGAGGTAAACCTTTTTATCAGCATTGACAGACGGACTGTCCGTGATGTGCAAACAGTTTGTGAACCTTTAGCGCTTCTGCGGCATTAACCTGTGTGGATGTTCCTTCAGGATCGGCTGCTCAGGAGGCCATCAAGATCATCAGCCACCAGTTTGCTCCCTTCTGTAACACCTTTGTTTACAACGCCATGTCGCAGACCTGTGCCACCATGCAGCTGTGAATCACCAACGCTTCTTTTATTTCATCTGAAAGAAAAACAAAATAGGTCAATCATAATAATAATAATAAAAAAAAAATTTAGAAAAGTCATCGTACAGTGAACAAATGCACTTCGAGATTAATATTTTATAGTTCCTGTGTGACGTGGTTGTTCTGTTAATTGAAGGAGGTCTTTGTATATTGAGGTGCAGCTGAAACAAAAGCCCGAAATAAAAACTACTTCATTCCCTCGCTCGCTCTTTCATAAGGCCAACCTCTCATGTAAGGATGATGTCATACAGTGTAACAGAACATGCTGTTCTGGAGTGGAACGTTTTTTTTTCCATTATAAATCTTAAAATGATATAGTTTAACTTAATGCAGTATAACATATTTTGAGTACTTTTCTGTTCACAAATGCTGTTTTTTCTAATATTTGTTACGGTAATTTACATTGGGTTTTTGAGGTATACAACAGAGTATAGTAGATTATGTATATACAGGTGTCAACTTCACAACATGAAACGTGATTTTACAGATATATGAGACGGGACCAGGCTGATATCACACTGGTAGACTCAACATGAGAATAATTCTGGCAGGGAGATTAAACAAGGTTATAATCAACCTTCAGACATTTAGTCCGGTCAAATGTGAGACAGAATAAGTTGAAACTTGTACAGTTTGGTAGTTTTGTCATAAATATGTCCAAGTGCCACGATTGGTCAAAGATGCCTGAAAAACCCAGTTTTGAATCAAAGTTCCATGATGCGTTATTTTATTCAACGCTAGAGGGCGCGCCGGGCATTGCAGTGCTACCAATAACGGGTTAACTTGTGCAGTCATAGATTTACAGTTATTTTTCCATGGCCGTGTGCATTTACTAACAGAACGCCACAGGGCACGGACAGGGTTTGGATATTATTAGGATATTGTAGGAAGGTTAGAAGAATCATTTACAAGTGAGTTGTTTCTCATTAGCCCTTTCTCAGAACGTGTAACACAAGAGTGGAGTGGAGAGAAAAAACTTTATGATGTAACTGGTGGATATAGTTTTTCTTCTTGTTTCTTCCCAGATTTGACAGAATGGAAATTTCCCCCCAGCAGATGTTTTTCATGTAACCCTTAGATCGCCCCCCTCCCCCCCCCCAGAGGTGCTGCTATCTGCCCCACTTTCCCATTCACACACACACATACACACATACATTTAGACTAAACATTTTGAAAGTCCATTGTTTCATCAAATGATTTTATTTTATTGTTTTTTTTCTCTATTGATTGTTAGTGTGTTTTTCGACCCCAATCTAAATAGAGTTAAAGAAGTTGTAATTGAAGGAGATTTTATGATCCAAAAGCCCCAGCAGGGGGCAGTAAGTGAACTCTAAGGGTGCAGTTCTTCTTTTAAAACACAAATAAGAAAAACATTAATAAAACAATAGACTTAGCTTAGCCGAGGAGGCTGTGGATAACTGATACTAGTTAGTGTAGTTTTCACTGTTGGCAGAATGTTCCAGACTTGGTAGTTTGAATGTTGCCTCTTGCAGCCATGCTTTCAGTAAAAAAAAAAAAAAAAAAAAAAAAAAAAAATGGCAAAAACCTGTTGTTTTATGCCCCGCTGTGTTTTCAATCACCGTCGTTGTCTGACTGTCTGCTCTTTGGCACTGAGACGGTAAGACCTTGTAAATGCTGAAAACAGCTGCACGCCGGGGCTAAATTCAGGTCTGTGAGATTGGGCCGAGTGGAGGCGCAGGGCGGAGTCAAATAGTGAGCAACAAAAAAAAACAAAAAACCAAAAACCCATGAAATTCCATACTGTGGAGTAGAACAGTGGAGTTTGAATATCAAGAATCATAGCATCTGCTCTTTTACACATTTGTAAAAAAAAAATAAAAATCTTATAGCAGCCATGTTTCAGAGAGCTCTGGTTCATCCTTTCATTATCACCAGTCCAGAGTCCAGGCCCAGCTTGTGTCTGTGTTATCTCAGAGGCACAGGAACAGCTCAACAATGGTGACAAGTGTCTTTGTGTGTTTTTGTTGTTGGGGGAGGTGAGGACAAGAAGTGGAAGGAAGAGTATCTTGTTGGTAATTTATAGATCAAGTACTAAATTACAGGCTGTAGAAGGGCCACTATTTTATACTACCTTAGCATAACAGCTAACACGAGTTATACTGGACCAGCTGTATCCAAATGTTCCTTCAGGTGGAGCAGGATTCAATAATGTAAACATATCTGATATAAATAAATGCATTGCATATTAACATATTAATATAGAAGTACATTCTTAAAAGCTGGGAATATAACTGAATGCAAACAGACAAATCGATTGGCTTTTGAATGGCTAACACATTATGGGATAATGGGCTACTGCTTGGCCAAACATAAACTTAAGTTTCTTTTCTTTTTTTTTTTTTGTCTTCTTCTGCACACATGGAAACAGGTAGAATCAGACTCTTTTCAGTGTAGGATTCTGTGCTAATGGCACAGCAAGTCACAAAAAAATATATATATATATAAAAAATAGAAAATATGTTTGTACATGAAAACAAAATCGCTCAATGTTTAACGTCCAATATCTAAAAATATGTCAAAGGTCAGCTCAAGGGTTAACGTCCAATATCTAAAAATATGTCAGCTCAAGGCTAGGGTGAAGAATGTAGCCAAATAACTCCCATAGGCCTGTGGTGGTATGTTCTAAACCAGTGTTTCCCTAACTTTTTTTCTGGTGACCCATATTTCAAAAGTCACAAACATTCGTGACCCAAGTCAACAGACATTATACGTAAACTCCTGGGAAACATGATGCGAGACGACCCCCCCCAAAAAAAACTCTTGTGACCCACCTGAGGGTCGCGACCCAGTCTTTGGGAAACAATGCACTAAAACATACAGGTTAATATGACTCCAAGTCATTCCTATAAAAAAATTAATGTTAAAAATAAACACAACAGTAACCACAATTTACCCCAAAATATTAAAATACTTAAATCTATTATTGAAAAAAAAAAACGATGTGATGCAACAACTGAAAAGAAATACCTAAACATTGTTCAAAAATGTTTCAAATACAGTTTGTCCTATTGCCCTTACTGACCCCAAGACTGGAGTTAGCAAAACATGGATATGTAGTAACTGCAGTGATAGGGGGGTAGATTTATAATCCTACACTCCCTGACCCTTCAACGACCTCCTAACACAAAACATACATTAGAGATTTAGGGTTGAGTGTCACTATTTATTTACACGTGAGTTAGGATGACAGGGCACGGTAGATGATTTAGGCTGGGAACGTGGGGGCAGCGCTGTCTAAAGTCAACAAGGTATTATATGCATATATACGTATATGTTTATATATATACGTATATATACAGTATATATATATGAAATGATAGGACAGCCTCCTTGAAGTGAAGTTCAGTGGAGGTTTTTTTTTTCAGCAGTCAGGAGAGGGGACTGCGGGAGGCCGGCATACTTTAAACCTCTCAGGGGTCTGAGGGCTGAGGGCCTCTCTATTCTTTCTACAAACAGATGGAGCTGTGCCTGGTGCATGCCTGTGGACTGTACTTTCAGACTGTTGTGCAAACGAAGGAGACAACAGAGTAACAGTGAGAGAACACTTGAGAGAGAGGGGGAATTACAGCAGGAAACAGATCTACTACTACCTCAACCTAGTAATTATATTTCTTGGAGATTTGCAAACTCAAAATATGTAATCTCCCTACATCTTCACATCTTCCAGCGAGTCGGGAGTCGATCGGTTCGTCTTCTACGCCGTAAAAAGATTTGGGATGCATATTTTACTTTGAGCAGCCCCCACTTCAGAGAGTCAGAATCCCACCCCCTCGAACACAGACCTTGGTGTCACGTTGCACTCAACAAATGCACAAATACATGAGGATTATGGCACATACTGTACACTCAGTCTAGCAAAAAAAAAAAAAAAAAAAAGTCTACATATAGATCTGCAACACGCACACACGGGTCGACCGGCTGTGTTTGCTCATTTCCAGCCCGTTATTTACTTTGCTACATTCTGTGGGAGCTTAGTCTTATCTCTGTGCCATTGTGCTAGAACATTCTCCCCATCGCACGTATTAGTCATTAACCAGGCGACAGCGGTGTTATTGTGAAGAGCAGTAAAGTAAAACAGGTCCGTCGCGGTGGAGGTAAAAAAGTAAATATTTTCACCTTTACTCTTTTTTTTTTTTTTTTTTACCTCAACCAAACCGTGTCTGGCTGCTGTGACGCCTCACGGAGCCAGAGATGTGATGTGTCACAGCGGGAGAGGAGGTTTGAACTGGTCTGTAAGAAATTTCAAGTTAATCTTTCCTAATGTCTTTCTCATGACTCAGAAAGTGGGGCAAAGAGAGAGAGAGAGAAAGAGAGAGAGAGAGAGAACCCCTTGCCATTAAAACCCACAGTCATTGGGAGAGATTCCTGCATGTGTTACTGTGTCAGGCAGTAATGAGGACCACCTGTTTGGTGAAGCCACGACCACTCAAAACATGAGGACGCGCGAGGGGACGTGAGCGGTTTTACCGACGTTCCAGGTGGCGTCCATGGACCGCGTCGGATTTACGTGATGGATTATGTTTTAGCTACACAACCTCCTTGTGTACATTCGTGTCCCTGCGATTCATAAAGTCAATTCTTGGCACACGGTGTCCTTCCAGAGATGTGCTCCCACAGGAGAGTGTTTATGAAGTGGGGGTGTTTAGGGTGAATTCCTCAGATAAGTGACATGCCCTCCCTCCCTAACCCCCCCCACCCTGTTCTGGATGAAGGAGGGCACAGCACAACCTGGACTGTGACACAGACAAAGTTCTGAGAATTATGGAGTGAGCACGGTGTTCACAGTGACAAAGTTTAACGTTTACGTCGCTGAAGGTTAAGTACATCAGTACAAATCCACATTCCAATGATGCAATGCCGTGTAGGTGGGAATAAAAACATCAATAATAATAATATTAGCAATAATAATACTGTGGTGTGTCAGCCTTCAGAAGTGTTAACCACACCTGTTCATCTGACCGTGGCGGACAGATGTGACGGAGTGACGTTGTGCCCTGGCAGAATACAGACTTGTCTTCACTTTATTTTCCAGACCAGGCCATAAAACAATCTGTTTCTCACACTTTTTCTTTTCCTTTTATATTCTATTTTTACTTTGTCTTTTCCATGTCTGTCATTTTGGTAAGAAACTTGTATGTAATCAGTGCATTTGTGCTTTTTGGCCAGACAAGCAGAAG